GGAGCAGGGGAGCGGCGGAGCGGAGCAGGGGAGCGGCGGAGCGGAGCGGAGCAGCGGAGCGGAGCGGAGGGGCAGCGCAGAGGGGCGCGGGGCACGAGGGAGCCTGGCCGGGGCCGCCAGTGCTGAGGACGGGCGCTGCCGGAGCCGGGCGAGAGCGGGACGGCGCGGAGCCGGGTGAGTGCTGGCGGCCGGAGCGCTGCCGACGGGGCGGGCTCCCGCCGCCGCATGGCCCGGCCGGGCGCGGGGGCGCCCGCGGAGCCCCGGCTGAAGTTGGTTCCCGGGGACGGAGCGCCGGGCGCTTCGCCACTGTGGCCCCGGGAGAAGCGCCAGGACCCGCCGGCGGAGGAGGGGGAACGGGGGCGAGGGGCAGGAGCTGGAGGCCGGGGCCTGCGGCGGCATCGCCCGGGCTCGGCGAACGCCGGTGGGTGGGGCGGGCACAGCTCCCTCGGCGGCGTTGCCCTGCGGAGCCCTGGCCAGCGGAGAGCGGGGAACCCCGCGGCACCGACACGGGCGTTTGTCACAGAATCAGAGGATGGTTCGGGTGGAGGGGACCTTTAGAGGTCACCTAGTCCCTCCCCCCTGACACGAGGGGCATCTTCAACCAGATCAGGTTGCTCAGAGCCCCGTCAAACCTGACCTTGAATGTTTCCAACCACGACCTCTCTGGGCAGCTTGTAATGACCCTTTATGCCGTGTATCTGAGAGGGAGGCTTTGCTCTCACAGGCGATTTAGAGCTTTAAATGCATATTGCAGGTCTCTTTCTCCAAGTACAGGATGATATTGGGTAAATGAAGTGACCATTTTAAAAGCGTAATTTTATGTGGATTGACCTGGGGACAGCTTTGGGTTACTGTGGCTCTGAGATATGTCTTCTTAGGGTTATTCTGTCATTATCCCACACCATCCTGGTTTGTATTCCATGACTGACCCAGCTAACCTGGCTTCTTCCTCACTCCTGCTTCAGGTATGATGGTGACCAAATGTCACCTCCGATGAGGTGCTAGCGCAAAGCTAGGAGTTGCTGCTGTAATGTTGTACTTCTGGAGTCCTCACCTATCCATATGTATGTACCTGCTTGGATGCAAGCCAGGCTTTCCAGGACAGAACACACTGTTTTCTCACCTGTGGACCACCTGTCACTTGTTGCAGCAGTGATAAATGTGAACCACTTTTGGGATGAGCTTTGGTCCCACAGCGAAGAGCAGGACGTAGCCAAGAACAAGGACTGCATTGCCCTGCAGTCATGAGATGATCCTGATTTTTCCAGGATACTGCAGGCAGCAATGCTTGAGACTTGAACACAGACTTCAATGAGAATAATGCTTCCCCAGACAGACAGTCCCTTTCCTAGCAGTGAGCCTGATGTAAACCCCGAGGAAGAAACTCCCTTTGCAAAACTAAGTGGACAGCTGACTTCAGAGAGGTGGGACTACTTTGCCGGTAATTGTAACTTTATAGGAACTGTTGTCAGTGGAGTGTTATGTAGATTATTCCAGAAAGCCATGGCTGGGATGTGTGAGGTTTCTCAAGACAAATTTCCTTTTATTTTTCATGTTCTCCCTAAAGTCAGGGCAGCATCATAACAAAGGATTTAGGCTGTACATCACAAATAGTAAAGTTAACAAATATCAAACAAATAGTCAATTTGTTGTTTTTCATGTTGCTTGTAACATTTTCTGGTTTTCCCATTTACCCCCACATGCGGATGATCTCAGAGTAACATCCTGTCATGGTTTGAGATAGCCCCAAAATCCAATTCTCTAGCTCCATCCCCCCTCCCACATCTCAACCTAATGTGAGATGGGTTTTTCCAGACAAAACACACCAGACTCAAAGTGGGGGAAAGGGAATATATTACAATGACTGTACAAATAAATACTATAACACATTATACACACGATCACAACTATCTCTACCATGACATATAGTATTTACAATGGATCAGATCTCTTCTCCCCTCCAAATAAAAGTCCAGGAGGGAAAGAAGGACAGATCCCTTCCAGTCTCTCAGGGCAGCAGCTTCTTCTAAGGCAGCAGGTTCTCCTCATCTCATGCGTGCAGCAGCTGATAGCTGGATCTCTGCCAGCACTCACGAGGGGGTATCCAAGTTTCTTTAGCCCCGTCGTCAGTCAACCGAAGGGGTCTTCCGTGGGCTGCGTTGACCCCAGACAAAGGTCGCTCCACCACGGTCATATCACAAGACGCAGGGGGTCTTCGTGACGGTCTGGTATCTCCAGGAGATTCAAGCTCCTTGCAGGGCCTCTGTGCCCTGTCTCAGGCTGCGAGCTTCTTTGTAGCTTGCAGCAAGGGAGGGCCCCCAAGGCCAACCTCCCACACCGTCCTGGCTGAGCTCTCAGGACGACTGAGCTTCTCAGCTCCTCTCTGCAGTGCATGTTGCACTTCAAGGCTCTTTCAAGTAAGAGTCCATCATCTTCCTCCTTCCAGGAGGTCTCAAAGCAGGTTTGGGGAGTCTGGTATCAGTTCCTACCCCCAGAACTCCGTAGCTCTGCTGCGGGCTCTCTTCTCCTCAACTCTCCTTCCAGGAGTCTTCTCTGCGGTGCTGCATGTCTCTGTTGCTCCGTCTTATCTCTTCTGGCTCTCTGCCACCGCTTCTCCGGTCAGTGCCAGCTCGGCTGCTGCTTTTCTCCGGCCGCTGCCCAGTTTGGAGAAAACATCTCCCAGCTCACAGCTACAGACACATAGTCCAGCTTAACACTGTTCCAAGTCTCTGTAGCCCCCAACTGGGGCTGGGGGGCCCCAGAGGCCCCGAGGGGCTCCGGGCCCCTTTCTTCGTGGCTACTACAACATGGCTACTTCTTCTCACCCCAAACTACAACTCTTCTCTTCTGGTGCTTGTGATATGTTTACATTTCTGCAGGAGCGCTCATTGGACAGAACTTCAAAACTTCCAGGGGTTTCCACCCCTGGGGGTTACCACTTTTCAGCCTCTGGGGGAAAACAAGGTTCAAACCACTACACATCCTCACCAGTCATCATTCATTCATTTTCTTCTAATGTATCACACTTCTGAAGGGCTGGTAATTGAGCGCATGTAATGCAAGCATGTGTGAGTAAATGGCAGAGAATAAGGAAATTTTGAAAAAGAATCAAATCCACTGCTGGTTTGCAGCTTCCTTAGAAATCTGGGAGATGTATTTCTTAAACTGAAACATGTCAAAATGCAGGAAGATGTGAGGGGCCTGGCTACTTTCAGCATCTAACACAAAGTAGGAATGATGGCAGTGCACCGTCCTCATCTAAATGCAGAACAAAACCCAATGGCAAGTATCACTCTGTTCTGGCATGTACACAGCAAGGTGATGCAGTCGTCTTGCAGTTGTTTGCCTGGCTAGAGCTGTCCTACATACAGGAACCAGCCTGATATCAAAAGTTAGAATAAAAATTGACTGGTTTTTCCTCTGTCTTTGGAGTAAAGATTCCTTTCTGCCCTTTGGCGAGGCACTCAGAGATGCATGTAAAGAGAGATATCCCTCAGTGTGCACACAAGCCATGATCCATTCTCTGTGATCCCCAGAGGCACAGTGCAGGACTCATCTAAGATGTTCCTTCCTGCCCACTCCCAGCCTGCCCACTCCTGACCCTATATGAGCACAGAGATATTGTGCAGAGGGCAGTTCAGATATTTTCCCATCTCTGAGCTCATTGAAATTGGGGTGATGAGGAGAGTTTATTCTAAACCAGGGAAAAAAATAACCAGCATCGTGGCCATAAACACTGTGGTCAGAGCAATAACCGTTCAGCTTCTTTGCCAAGGCTGGAGAGCTCCTAACAGGTCATATGGGGGAATGCTACTTCATAATGCCTTACAAACATTCAGGAACCAAAGGAACAAGCATTGCATATCAGAGAAGCCTGTGTCTGCATCCTAGAAAGTGAACCAGAAGGCAGAGGAGTATACTAAAGCTCAGAGTGCAGCAAGAGAGGAGGGTAGAGCATTGGTAGGGAGCAACACTCAGAAAGTCAGTGGCATGTGGAAAATGCTCATGGGGCTGATGCCCTAGTGTGTCAAGAGAACATTCTGGTGCAGTCCTCCTACCTGGCACAATTATGGGGAATTCCTTCCTCCTGTTCATGCTCTGAAATGCTGGAGGCTGGGGGCTCTGTTTCCCCAAGATCAGTCATGTCGCTGCTTGTCCCAGATCCCACCTTGCAGGCACTTGGACACATTACAATCTCACACCCCACTGTATTTTTTGGTACTTAAAATTCCACTGATTTCATGACACCAAATAATAATGGAAGATGAAATGCGAGAAAGAAATAATTAACTGGAGATTTTGCATTGTGTGTGTTTGCACTGTGTGTGTTTGTTTATGGCTGAGGGAGTACGCGGAGCTAAGTGCTCCAGACTGTGCTGCCTTCAAAGAACTTATGGTAACATACTGTAGAGTCTGTTTTTGCGATGTAGTATTTGCCAACATTACTGCTCCTAAATCTCAGCCTGTCTCTTTGATAAGTAATATTTAGTTATAACAGCATTTGTAACTTGGTAGTTAGCAATGGGTTAATTGCTAATACATGTTGGCTGTGTATAAATAAAAGTAAGAAAGGAAAAAACCAATACTTTCTTGAAAGCCGAGCAAAATAGAAGGTGGGGAGAAGGCAGCAAAAGTGTTAAACATTGCCAATATTTGCGTGACAATTACTATAGTTGTTTATTTAAAATAAGAAATGTTTTCTCTACAGTTTCTCACATAGAGTGCTGTTTGCTGTGTCAAAGAAAGAAAATGCCTGATTTCCTTGGAAATAGTCACAATAACCATATCATTAGAGATTTAGCTGTGCTGCATGAGCCATGCCGGAGTGAACACTCGCGGTGTCAGTTCACTTCTTTAGAAACATGAACTCTTCTGTGCCAGCTCCTCTCACAGGCAGTGAAGAGAGATGCTCAGACCTAAAGGGCCCAGCTGCTGCTGGGGCTGACCAGAAATTCAGGTGCAAACAGAATTTACAGACTGTACCTCTCACCTTTTCAGTGCACTATGGCATTGCCTGGTTTTCTGTCAGAAGCTGCATCTGCATGTGATTATGATCTCTGGATAGGCAGATTCCTAGAGCTAGTTCTAAATGTGTTTCATGATGTTTGAAAAGGGCTTTTGTCTCCAAGTTGACACCACAGCTTGAGTCAGTTGTCCCAAATCTACAAGAACTT